GGGGTTTAAGTGGAGAGAAAATGTTTTGAGAATGATGTACAAATGTGCTTTACACAATTGATGTGTGTATGGATTGTGATAACAGTTGTATGAGCCCCTAATAAAATGTTTAAAAAAAAAAAAGAAGCCTCATCTTTCTTCCAAGGAGTGGCTGGTAGGTTTGAACTGTCAACCTTGAAGTTAGCGGCCTAACATGTAACTGCTATGCCACAAGTACCTATGAGGAGTTTACTAATCTTATATTACCATGTTCAAAAAACCTCATTATGGAGTCAATTCCGATTCACAGTCATCCTGTAAATTGGAGCAGAACTGCCCATTGGGGGTTTCAAGGAAAGAAATCTTTATGGGAGCAGGAAGTCTTATCTTTCTCTTTAGAGCAGCTGTTGGTTTTGAACTGCTGACCTTGCCAAAACTCTTGTTACCACGTTGAAAACCTGAAAATGAAAATTAATGCCACGGTCTTAAGAACACATGATGTGCTATATTGAAGCTTTTGGTCTATCACTTTTATTGGTGTTGGGTGCTCTCCAGTCAGTTCTGACTCATAGCGACCCTACCTATACAACAAAAGGACACACTGCTCAGTCCTGTGCCATCCTCCCAATTGCTGTTTGAGCCCGTCATCACAGCCACTGTGCCAACCCATCACCAATCTTCTCCTTTACCAAACGCGACGCCATTATCCAGGGACGAGTCTCTCCTCGCAGCATGTCCAATGTACCTGAGACCCAGCCTCACCATCCTTGCTCCCAACGAGCATTCTGTCAGTACTACTTCTGCCAACACAGACTTGCTTGTTTTCCTGGCCGCCCACGATACTTCCAATATCACGTTTGGTTCTTTTTTTGTCCCCCTTGGAATTACATTGTGACTACATGATACTTTAGGAACTCAAAGAGTTTGTTTATCCAAGAACGGAAGAAAGATGATGAAGGGATTCTAAAGAGAGACAGCGCTACCACACTCTGTATGAGGTAAAACCTCAACCCGGATGAAATGGAACACGTTCCATACCAAACATGCCTTGTCATGCTTTTATTTCTTGGGTGTACACTCTACTTTTGATTTCCTTCAAGATCAAGAGCATCTGTACTTCACATATAATCCATGTTGCTGACAAAGACGTATACTTCGACAGGATGACCAGGATGCTGGTTTCAAGATGCTGTAAATAGCTGCAATCCAGGTCTGGAGTCACCCATGACAGCTCCCTCATCAGGGACGCTGGCCTGATCTGAATTTTTCTCACCTCACACCGCCGCCATTGGCACCCCCATTTTGTCGTACATGACTGGGATCCTGCTTCCTGCATGGTGAACACACATCTCACCTTCCTTATTACTTTGTATGCCTTGGGGAGCAGGGCCGTCCTAATGTTCACAACACAGTAACATGGATATACTGTGCCTCTATGAACACATACGAATATGTGGATAACAGAGACAACTGTCAACCAAGAGGAAGGAAGGAAGCCCGGGCTATTTTTGGCTGGTGCCCATTGGAGGGTTGACTGGATGAATAGATGAAAATTTCCACTTGCAGCTTGGATTTTTGTTGTTGCTGCGTGGTTTGCCTTTGCTTTTAGAATGAAAGTTTGGCTCACCAAAAACAAAGAAAGGAAACCTTCGCCAATCGTTCAGGGTGTAAACTTACAGAGATGAGAGTCGTACATTGTGTTTTAGGCTTCAAGAAAGGGTAAAGTATCATTTTTAGTAGGAATAATTCAAAGGTCATCATTCCAATGAAAAAAACACTAAAGCCAAACACTGGCTCCATGTAACTTCTATTCTATCCCTGTCTTGCAAACATTTGTCTCTCCCTCATTCTTCCTTACCTACTTAGCCTCTCGCTCTCCCAACATCCCCAATTATCAGGTTTTCTTTGCGTCACACGGCTATTTTAAGCAGTTGTATAATCACCTCTCCTGTTCTGTCTTCCACCTTAAATTACCAAGAGCCACCATTGCTTTAATATATTTACAGTTCTTTTGACCTACCTATCTGCCGTTAACTTCTATTTTACACTCTATTCCTAAAAATTGTTCTCCTTCCAAATAATGATTGTGAATACTTTACGCAGCCACAGGGCAGGGGGAAGAGATAGAATTCTGAAAGTTAGTATTTTACCCTACAAGTTAGTGTATTAAAAAAGAATAGCTTGGATGTTATTTTGAGTTGTTCCAGAGCTTTGCCCAACCTTTTTTTTTTGAGATGCAAAATGTATATTAACACAAAGCCAAAGCAGATAGGAGATGCTCAATCTATAAAATACCCAAGTCGATGAGAACAAGTTCTAGTCATTCAGCAACTGCCTGGCATCATGCTTTTATAAAATTGCTTTTCTGTCTTATAACATTAATCATTTAGCAATTTCTTTTAGCCGTCTCAGACATAAAGTTTGAATCTTTTTAACATCAACATGATTGGCAAGAGTCTATATTAGGTTACAGCAAAATAATACTAATAAGGTATCTTTTGGAGCGCAAGAAAGATAAAATATTTCTACAGCTATGTGAATAGAGAATAGCCCTGGTGGCATAATGGGTTACGAGTTTGCTGTTAACTGAAAAGGTTAGCAGTTAAAAACCACCAGCCACTCTCAGGAGACACATTTGGCTTTCTGTTCTTTTAAAGAGTTATGGTCTCAGAACCCCACACGGGTTGTTCTACTCTGGTGTATGGGACCAGTATAAGCTGAAGTGGACTCAAGGGCAAGGAGTTTTTGAGATGTGAATTTAAAATGAAAAACTACAACAGGATCGAATTATTAAAAGGTTAGAATAAAAAGTTTACTTACATCAAGAGAGCCTTCATTTATAACAATCATTCCCATGTTCTTCTTCAGCAGTTTGCAGGAGTGTCCTGTGTCAAACATACAGCAAATGAACTGAGACACGTTCATTTTTCGGAGGAGGTAAAGAAAGTAAAGTCATTATACCATCAACATATCTAAAGACTTTTCTTTGAAGTTATAGCAACCAGCTGTTTTCCAGGTTTTCGGTTGTTGCTAGCTGTCATCAAATTGGACCCTGCCTCATGGCGACCCTGACCATGGTGCTCACAGGGGTTCCACTGGCTAATTTTCAGAAGATCTCCTGACCATTCTTGTCCATCTTAGTCTAGAACAGCAGTTCTCAACCTGTGGGTTGTGACACCTTTGGCGGGGTGGGGTGGGGTAGGGTGGGGTCAAACAACCCTTTACAGGGGTTGCCTGATTCATAACAGTAGCAAAATTACAGTTATGAAGTGGCAATGAAAATAATTTTATGGTTGGGGGATCACCACAACATGAGGAACTTATGAAAGGGTCGCAGCTTTAGGAAGCTTGAGAACCACTGGTCTAGAAGCCTTGCTCAAGCTCGTTGGTATCCGAGCAACACAAAACCCCTTGCCGAGACGTGGGTGGTGCCTGTGAGTGAGGGGGGTTGACCAGAAATGCAGCCTGGGCTCCCTGCATGGAGGTCAAGAATCCTGCACTCAAACTGTTGTTACTGGTTAGAGGAGGCACGGGAGCCAAGAACAGCGCCTGGTCTGTTCCTGTGGCCTAAACAGACAAATCCAGAAAGAGGCTGAAATAGTGATCCTCGATGTAGTCAAAAACCAATGCTGTCCTTTCATAAAGACCGACACGAAGAACAGATGGACCAAACGGCTGATTCAGAAAAAAGGAGAGTACAGACAAGTGGCCATATAGTCTCGCTGATCCACTGATTTCACCACCATCTAAAGGCACTTGGATGGTCACCAGGGTCAACCTTTCTCACCCCCACCCTCTGTATTGTACTTGCCAGGAAAAATGTAAAAATCAAACCAATAAACCAAACTCAAATTCATTGCCATCTAATGGATTCTGACTCACAGTCTTCCCAGCACAGAACAGAACTCCCCCCTTGGGTTTCCTGGGTTGTAAGTCTTTATGGCAGTAGACAGTTTCACGTTTCTCCCTGGAAGCATCTGGTGGTTTAAACCACTGATCTTGTTTGTGGTTAGCAGCTCAAAGCACAGCCTGCTATAGCACCAGGGTTCCTAATGCAAAATTGCCCCGTTAAATCCACCTCCGCCAGCTTGCACCTGCGTGAGTGCCCCTGAAGATTGCTAGAGAAAACCAGGCAGTCCTGCTGGGCCAATTTCACTTAGATCTGGGACAGTGTTCTCCAAGGGCCCAGAGTGACATGTGGAAATCCCACACACTACACCACTCTTCTGTCGGGCGGGGGTTTTTCAACCTTCGCCTCCTGGTTCAAACTCTTAAGTCGCTTTCCCTTCTCACTCCAAGCGCCTGAGCTAGTTTCCCGTTACAGAGAAGATAGCAGCCCAAGAAGAGAAGCCCTCATCGTCTGTGCCACATACCCGCTCTCTCCAGACACCGCGCATGAATTGCCCTGCGCTAGACACCTGGGTGTTAACCTGTGATTCTTTGCTTTCACACACACACACACACACACACACACACACACACACACACACACACACACACACACGTCTAATCCAGCAGAGAATCCGACTGGCTCTGCTTTTCAGTTTATTCAGAACTTAACCACATCTCAGTACTTCCACTCTGACTGTCCAGGTCTAAGCCACCAACATTTTGTACCTAGATTAATGGAATGGCCTCTTCAGTGGGCTCCCTGATTCCACGACCACGTCTCTTCTGGTCCCCTCTAAGATTAGCAGCCAGAGTCGTGGTTTCCACAGGGAAGATGGCCTCTCTTCTACTCAGAATCCTCAAAGGCTTCTCACCTTACTCAGATTCAATGCAAAAGTCCTTAAAATGGCTGGGGAGGGCCTGTCCCATCTGGACTCTGCTCCTCACCTACGTGAAATCCTTACCCACTACCCGCTCTTTGGCCTTCCTGCTCTACCTGGCATAAACGTAGTCTCGAAGCATCCATGTGACAAACTCACTTCTTTCTGGCACGTCCTCAAATGTGGCCTGGTCCACGAGTCTTCCTGACATCCTTACTTAAGAGGGAAGCCCCGTGTTAAATCCCTGATCTCTCCCACCCGCGATTCTTGCTCTCTAACATACCATCCGTTTTCCTCACTGACTTCATGACCCGAGCCCCACCAGGGCAGCCACTTGGGGTTATTTGCTCTCCTGTACTTAACCAGCACTTGGCGCAGGAGGACCCGGAACTGTTTGCTGAGTGAATGACTTTTATCAGTAGTTTTTTTCTAGTAATATCTGCAATCTGAGGCTCTAAGAGCTAAATATTGATCAGCAACTTCCGCCATGCCCCCCCCGCCACCCCGCCACAACCCCCACAGGCATCTTCAGAATGGCTATATATCCTGAGCAATGTTCACTCTTGACTGCCAATTTCCCTCGTATGTTTGTACTGACTATCACAATATTCTCTCTCATCTGTAGTCATGCCTCTAAGAAGTATTTTTAGTTTTCAGACCTCTCCATTTTCATGCACTCGGGGTTTCCTGGCATATCCTCTTGTCTCCATGTGTATTGAATACCAGTGATGATGGGTACCATCGAATGAACTTGTGTGCCTTTAGAGGTTGACCCTTCTACCATGGTTAGGCATCACAGGGTTGGTTCTAACGCTGGCCCTATGTCTAACAGAAGGGAATGATACCCCGTCCCATGCTTCCCTCACAACTTGTCTGATGACTGCGCCCACTGTTGCTGCCACTTTGTCAACTCATCTCACCGAGAGTCTTCCTCTTTGTCATTGACCCTCTATTTACCAAGCATGATGTCCTCCAGAAATCAAACCTGGTAACATTTTAAAGTACGGGAGAGGAGTTCTCACCATCTCTCTTCTCAGGAGCAGTGTAGCTATATTTCTTCCAGGACACACTTATTCATTCTTCTGCACGTCCACAATATAGGCTGTATTATTTACCAAGACCTTCCTAGCCACGATCCAGCTTTCACGTATACCTGAGCGGAACGCTCTGCAAAGACCATGTCTTAGGTCGGGCCACCTCGGTCCTCACAGTGACATCTTTGCTCTTTGATAGTTTAAAGCGCCCCCACCCCCCCAACAAATTGCTCCACTGAAAATGGCCTTGGCTCCTGCGTCTATGGGTGCTGCCTGTGGACCTAAGGAAAATGAAATCTTTAATAACCTCCATCTTTTCTCCCCTTATCATGAGGCTGCCTCTAGGTCTGGCTGTGAGAAAGCTTGTTTTCTTTAGATTGAGCTATATTCCATAAAGAAGGGTTATGATGAAGTCTTTGACGATCACCAAGTCCTCTTCATGTACTGCAAGCAAGAGTCTTATAGAAGATGGTGAATGTTCCTCTCATCCTGGGGCTGCGTTCGCCTTCATGTAGGCTGGCTTCTCGGATCATTTGTTTAGCATAAAGAGTGAATCAGTAAAATGATACAACAGGGACACACCTCTCCTGATTTCACACCAAGTTATATCCTCTTGCTTGGTGTGAACAACTGCCTCTTAGTCTATGTGGAGGTTCTGCATGAGCACAATGAGTGTCCTGGTATTTCTATTCTTCCCAATGTTATCCCTATTTTGTTACGATTCGGACAGGTAGGTGCCTTTGCTTAGTCAACAAACGCTGTTAACTATCTTTCTGGCCTTCTCTGCTTTTAGCCCCCAACCCTTCTAATATTAGAAACGATATTCCTCATTCATGTCCTCTTCTGGTCTGGCTTGAATTTCTGGCAGCTCCCTATGGATATACAGCTACAACGACGTTGAGTAATATCCAAAACATTTTATTTGCATGTGAAATTAATGATACTGTTTGACAATGTCCTCATTCTGTTGGATCACTTCCTTGGGAACTCTGCTAGTTGGCTGGTCTTCAAACATTTTGTGTGTGTAGGTGAGTTAGTAAGTGCTTCTAGCTCTGTACCTCTTTGTTGAAACGTTTCAATTGGTATCCTGTCAATTCCTGGAACCTTGTTTTCCACCAGTGGCTTCAGTGTAGCTTGGACTTCTTCCTTTGACACCATTGGTTCTTGACCACACGCTGTCTCCTAAAATGGTTGCAGGTTGGTAAATCGTTTTGGTACAGAGACTCTGTATTCCCTCCATCTTCTTTTGATGCTTCCTTGATGTTCAATATTTTCCCATGGTATCCTTCAAAATGCCTCTGTAGGCGTTCATTTTTTTTCTTCAGTTGAGGTGCAACCCATACTGAGCAATGTTTGAGAAATGCTATGTTCTTCCGTTTGGGCTTTTAAACTCCAAGACCTTGCATGTTTCATTATAATACTTTCCTTTGTCTCCTCTAGCCTCTCTTTGAAATCTTTTGTTGAGTTCTACAGTTGGTAAAATGTTCATTTTCTTCATGCTTGGTCTAGGTGGTTGATGGTGAAATTTGGTTGTGACTATACATTTTAATAATAGTCACATGGTAGGCATGTGGCCATGATGCTAACACTGACAGCATTGTACTCGAGGCTATATCTTGAAGGTTCTTTTTGACAATGAATGAGATTCTGTGTCTCTTCAATTTGTTGTGCCTGAAACAGGCCACATGGTTGCCTGACTCTGAATTAAAAAGACTAGGCAATTTCAGCCCGAGTGCCCAAGATATCAGCTTTTTCTGTTCCCTTTTATGCATCCTTGATGACTCTACTTTCCCCAGATTCATACTTCAATCATTTCAGGTTCCGATTATTAATGAATATGTGTAGTTGTTTCTTCAAATGTTGAGTCAGGTTTCATCAGGAAACGAAAGTCCCAAAGCTTTCCATGGTCATCGCCGGTCAGGGTGACTCCACTGCGGAGGCAGGTGTCTCCAGTCGCAGTCTGAATGCCGTCCCACCCAGAGGGATCACCTTCAGGCACGATATCAAACTCTGCTCCACTGCGACTGCTATTCGTGAGGTTCTCACTGGCCAGTACTTTCAGAAGTCAATTGCCCAGGTCCTTCTTCTAACTCGTTTTCTAAATCTAATTCTCATTTAGTAATAATACCAATGTACTTTATATTTATAATGTATACAAATGTATAGAGGTTTTTGTTTTTGTCAATTGTGGTTTGGGTGAAAGTTTGCAGAAGAAATTATCTTTCCATTCAACAGTTTATACCCCCTCCCCCATGACATTAGTTTACTTATACTCTCTTTTTTAAAAATTTGAATTAGTTTTTATTTTTTCATTTTTAACAATTTCACTGACATACAACTCACTAGTTCTATCTCATTCATAAGAGTTGGGCAACCATCAGCACAATCAACTCCAGGACATTTCTTTGTCTTATCACTCAGGGTTGCCAGCCCCACATGTCCTGCGGCCAGCCTCCCCTGTCACGCCTCTGAACCTATGGATTCGGCTGCTGTCTCTGTAGGTTTACCAAATCCTGCAATCTCTTCAATGTAACAGCGATCTTATTTCCTGCCTGCGTCTATCATTTCCACTTGTCCTTCTTTCCTGCCTTCTGGGGTTTGTTTTGGGGGTAGATACTGCTCTTTGGCTTAACTGTTCTGAGGATGATGTTCCTCCTGGGTGTTGTGGTTCACTCTTAAGGCCTGTCTATTGGTTGGCTGAAAGGAAATTCCCCGCAGGTGTAGTCAGTGCCAGGACCACAGTGTGAGGGGTTCCACCGGTCTCTATCACAGCCGTGAGGATGGCCTTTTTTATGACTTTGATTTGTGGGGAGTCTTATAGTTAGAGAATACTTTAGGCAGATTGCCAACACTTCTAAATGCAATAGAAGCTAAATGTTATATTAAAATACAGAGAGTTTCATAGTGACTTTCTAAAAATGTGGTTGCACACTGTGAGAATCCCTGAAATGGCTTCTTCAACTCTGGGGAGTTTTGTATGCAATTCATATCATGAATGTCCAGAGGCTGAATCGCTGTTTGGGTTTATAGTCCTCAGGTTACCTATTATTATTGGATCTGGATGGGAAAAGAGTGCTATTTTCATGTACACTATTGCTACAACAGACCTCCAAGACAAAAAAAAATACTAACTGTTGTCTCAGTAAAGCCTCTTTCTAAGAAAACAGAATTAAAGGTGAGAAGGGGTGAAATGTGACACATTCTTGCTTCCTGCCTCAGTGGCCACCGAACCCCACCGAACCCCACCAAGGGCAAAATGCTATCTACATTTGTCAACTACGGACAGAACGTCGGGTAAGTGTGAAGCAAGAGCATAACTCAGTTATCAGAGTTAAAGTTGGGTCATCTAGTTAAAGTTTGGTTGGTGCGGTCAAACTGCCCCTTTTAAATGGCAATCACTCCGCACATCGATCATGAGTTAATGGATAATCCTAATGATACGCTCTTTGAATTTTTGAGATATTTCAAATCCGTCTTCTAAAATCATTCAGTCTGTTCAAAACATCGAGATTTAAGGCTTGCATTAAGCGAGTTACCGATGTTAATGGCAGTTTCTTGCTTGTCTCCGGTGAGGACCCAGATTTTGATGTCTGCTTTCATTAGCGTTTCTATGGTTTCAGGCACTTGATCTTGTAATTTGTCCTCAATGGCTGTAGCTCCGAGCAGCTGAAGGTTCTGAGGAAAGCAAACGGTAACACATTTAAAGAGCGAACCGGCTACAATTCTTTCTTAAGCATCAAACATTAAAGTGTTTATACATATTCGAACCACAGACGAGAAGATAACTTGGGGGATCTTGTGCACGAGTCAACTTGTTGAAGCTTTACCATCCTGGAAGCTTGTATAGGGTCACTGAGTCACATCAACTCAATGACCAGGCTTTTCTTGTCTTCTTATTTTTTACATTTCAATGTTTTTTTTAAGTTTTAGACAAGGCCTGGATGGGCACAAAAGACATCAAGTGCAGGTGACCATGCCAGGGCTGGTGATCACGTGTCTGCAGGACACTCTTGGTGAGCACTCAGTATGTTTGCTGAGGGAGCTAGTGGCAAATAAAACAATTAGTTCAAATGTTATAAACCATCGCTGCAAGCCAAGCTGCTTTCTTTTCATTATATTCCAAATAACATGTACAGCTATGAGAGAGCCTTGATGGATAGCTTCTTTGTAATGGGATATATAAGACAGCCTGGAACCGTCCTCCTTTAAGGAGAGAGCATTTGTTTATCTTTAAGGAGAAGCAGATTTGAAACCTATCACACCCCGATGAATAATTATCATCAAGAAGTTCAAGAATGAAAAGGAAGATTAGTTCAACAGCCACTCTGCCAGCCTCACAGTTGCTGGGTTTCAACATTGAGATCATGATCCTATCAATTCCTTTACATGCTTCTAGGATATTTGAGGCTAAGATCTTTTCAGACCAAATCCCAATGAAAATCAAGAGGTAGCTGTAATCAAATATTAAAAATTCTACAGACATCATGATAAGGGGTTGAATTATCATAGGGATAATACTTCAGTAATATAAACCCTCAGCATTTTCTAAATGAAAATTTTAAAGAATTTATAACTTATGAAACATTGCAGTAACTAGAGAATGTGACAGCCAAGATTTGCACACATTCACTAAATATACCTAAACTAAACATATCTACATACCCATTCTTTCCATTTTAAGGGGAGAAATGAGTTCAGAAAGTACACGAGTATAGATTATCCACTCACCTGCCCAATAAAAATAAGATAATTTCCCCTATCGAAAAACAAACTTGCAAGAAGAACTTACAACAACGAGCCCTTCCCATACCACCTGAAAAAGATTAACTACTGAGGCTGCTTATGTACAACCAGATACCTCTTGGGGTTTGGTTTAGGGTCATGGTTTCATGGGACAGCCCAGCGAATTGGCCTAAGTAAGATATTGGGCGCGTTTGTTCTACCTCCGAGGTCACTGAGCAGTGCAAGGGTTCCCGAAAGCGTTTACGTGGCCGTAGAAGGTACCACCATCGATGTCTAGTCATCTGGAGCAACAGCGTAAGACGGAGAGTGAGGACTAGGAGGAAGAAATGGAACATGTGGCTACTGTCCTCCAAGAACAACTGCTCCTTTGCTAGGAGATCAGAAGAAATGATGGGTGCCCATCAAAACTAAAGATTTTGATCTAACATTCCATAGGAGAATCCTGACCAAGAGTTGACAAAATGCAGCACAGTATTTAAAACTCATAGAATTCAGATGGTCTGGAGCCAGAGAGGCTGAATGAATCACAAAACTATTGGCCTAAACCTTAGGGCAAAATATCCCCTTAGGTTTTCTGAAAGCCAACAATAGTGTAGCTTAACTCTCCAGAATGCCTGCCTTGAACCCGGTGCTATTTGACGCTCTATCTACACAGGATCAAATCGACAAAGCAACTAGAGAGGCCTCATAGGAAACCTGAGGGACGCGGTGCATCCGAGTTCCCGGGACCAGCTCACACAAGGAAGGTGGGGATGTCCGCACAATTGGAAGCATGTCATAAACGTCAGCAAAGGGTGCAGGCAGCAACTTGCAACGCTGTCTGTTTCTGCCGTGTTATCTTTGCAGCAAGAGCAACAAAGAATAAAATAAATTATGCCAGAAAAAAAAAACCCGATTAGGGGAGAGGGAAAAAAACAACAACAAAAGCAAAAACCCCAATGACATCACCAGAGAGATTGCATTGAAATTCCTTGGCAGAGGCCTGAAAGGAGGAAGGGCCCTGATTTGGCACAGGTAAGAGGGAAGCAGTTTTCAAACCAGGAAAAGTAATAAAAAGGACCAGCAAGTGGAGCCCACAAAGCGTATGGTGGGAACAGCTACAGGGAGGTTTCGTGAATGAAATGGCTGTGAGAGCTGAAATTTCTAAAAAGGGGAACAGGAAGTGTTTTTGTTTTTTAAGTATCTAAATTGTCCGCACACTGCGAAGGGTCTGTGGTGGTCTTACGAAAGGAAGTGACATGCTAGCCCCGACTTTCCCTCTTCTCCTTGAGCACCAGGAGCAGATGACCGACAAGCTCGGCGCTGACTTTTCTTCGGGCCTGCTGCCACTTCCTGTGGGAGGAGCATCGTGAGGGAGAGGCTGCGGGGCCTCTGGAAATGAGTATCTTCTTGTAGTTCCATCACAATCATTAGGGAAAAATGATTTGAACTCTGCGTGCTTTACCTGATCATAACACAAGAGTGTACAGCCTGTAATCAATTTCATCCCCAATATGCATTCCCTTACGCAGATGGCCACTAAAGGGCCCTACGGGAATGGCATCTCCGGCAAGTGTGAAACAGGATCAAATTCCTGTGGCATTTGTGGAATTGGGAAAAAACCCAGCCCCCACCCCTCGAAAGCCCCAGTATTAATTTTATTTAAAGAAAGAAAGCCACTGCATCAAAAGCTACACGTTTTTAGCTGATGACTCTTTGGGGTGTTATAGATTTAATTATCACTGAGAATTCATGGGATATTTATTCCTCTAATAAACCCCCTAATAATTGTATTTTCTCTTTCACAAGTTCAAGATGTACACAGGATTTTCAAAACGCCATACTCACTCAAAGTAAAATTTCTACCTTAATGAAGATAAGTGGCTTCCAGCCGCACATCGTAAAGATGAAAGATTTAGAAATGATGTTTTCCTTCCCGGTACATGTATATCTTGCTAGGTCACAAGAACTCTAAATGAGTTATTTCCACAGTAGTCATTCTTTTTAGCTCTTAGGTGACATCATAGGTTTTACACGTCTGTGACATATTTCTAAACGAGGAAAATATAATAATCAAAGTCGTCAACTTAGGTTTCAGGTGACGGCACAGACTATTCGGAAGAAGTTTCTTTAAAGATGAGCATGTGAGTAAGCAAAGTTTTCCCATCAGAGGAAACCTGGAGAACTAACAGTCTCATCTACAACCACCGTGAGAGAGCGGAATGGGGAAGATGAAGCAGCAGCACATAAAAAAACACACAAAAAAACAAAACAAAAAAACAAAAAACGAAGCAGCACATATTTTCTGAGCACAAAATAAACACTAGGCATGTCTTCATTCAGTTAATAGCTCGTCGAACTTGCAGGAATTGTCAATGGTCAAAAAGAGGTAGTGGTAAGACTGTCAAGAATCAATTTGTAGCCAAAGGAAGTGAATGGGTAGTAAAATGGGGATTAAATGAAAGTTAGAAATTCATTCAAGTGATCAGTTTTTAAACATTTGTCCCTGCTAGTGGGTTTTTACTAACTATTTCTAAGAATGGGTTGCAGCATTAGCTGTGAGTCACTGCGGCCAGCTGCAGGCCCCCATGGGTCACGCTTCAGGATTGGTTTCTCTTTATGCATTCAGGCATGCACCCATCCACTCAATCACTGCTAAATACACACCGGGTTCTGGGAGAGATGCTGGGGATACAGCAGTGAGTTCCTTCCTTCATGGATTTTTCAGTGTGATCAGAAGGGACCTCTCATTTGGACTTCTCCCTGTCTTGGCTGCTGCTGATAACACCTGCTCTCTTTCTGGTCCCTGTTTCTCTGACTCCTGTCTGGCGAGCTGTCATGAAGGCTCCCGTAATTAATAACAAGGCTGGGAATGGACAGCGGTAGATCTCTAAGTTGACCAGCACACTCACCTCAAGAGCTTCTCACACTGATTGCCTGGGCTCCACGCCCAGAATGCCTGGTCGAGTGTACTGAGGTGGGGCCTGAAAGTGGGTAACGGGAACAACGCTCTTGATGTAAGGGCCTCATTTTGAGAACCAGCAATGAACTTTTTCTGTAAATGGCCACATGCAGGGGGAAAGAAAAGATAATGAAAGAAAAAAGGCGGGGGCAGATGATGGAAACGTCCAGAACTTTTGGAAGCCCCTGCATCTGTTCTACATTGTAACTTTAGTTCTGTTTTTGTAGCATGGACACCAACACTAACATGTAAATGGAGGTGGTTGTGTTCCCATAAAACTTTATTTAGAAAAATAGGCAATGGTGGATCTGCCCCCCGAGGCAGGGCTTACTGACCATGAATGTACAGGATTTGGGAGCGTCCCATTCCCTCTGCCCCGGGGCTCCCCTCTGACTTTTGGTTTCTTGTTCTTCCTTTGCTCAGTCCAGCCCTTTTCTCTGAGCTTCACCTCCATCCTCTGGTCCCTGTTCTCTTCTTTCAACGCCACAGCTCAGACCCAGCTTTTTCATGGAATACAAGATTGCCTTCAAAAAGAGACACATTTTCCCACGATCATAGCTAAACAAACACATCAAACCAGTTGCCATGGCGTTTGTTCCAAACCAGGAAGACCAATGCATGTCAGAGGATAGCTGTTGTGCGCCACAGAGTTTTCATGCCTGGTTTTTCAAAGCAGAGTGCCGGGCCTTTCTTCCAAGGTACTTCCTGGTGAACTCAAACAGCCGACCTTTTGGCAGCAGCTGAAGGCTTCATCACCCATATCACCCGGGCACTCTCACGCTCACATCATTGTAGGTTCTAGATGATCTTAAACGCAAATACAAAGTCTATGTCTGGGAGGATAAGCCCAGGAAATGCCATCTTCTCAGCCCAGGTGGTGCATAAGAACCCATCTAACATGAGTTAACACTTGAGTGGAAATCCTAAATGATGAGTTAAGAGTTGGCCAAGCCATCAGAAGAGATGGGAAGGGCTTGAGGGAATGAATTCC